TTGCATGCCCTCCTTCAGGGGACGTTCCCCATACAGGTATCGAACTTGCGTCTCCTGCATTTCAGGTGGATTCTTTACCATTGAGCCACCAGATAAGCCCCATTTTGCTTATGCTCATTACAAAATATTGGCTGTATTCTTCTTGTTGTACCACACTTCCATGTAGCTTATTTATACATAGTGGTCTGTACCTCCTTTTCCCCATTGGTAACCACCAGTTTGTTCTCCATATCTGTGAATCTTTCTTTTCTGTTATATTCACTAGTTGTATCTTTTAGATTCCATGTGTAAATGATGCCATACAGCATTTATCTTGCTTTGTCTGACTCATTTCACTCAGTATAATATCTTCTGAATCCTTCCATGTTGCTACAAATGGCAACATTTTATTCTTTTTTGTGGCTGAGTAGTGTTCCATTATGTATGTATGCACCACATCTTCTTTATCTATCCATCTGTTGATGGACACTTGGGTGGCTTTCTTACCTTAGAATTTGTAAATAATGCTGCCGTGGACATTGGGGTGCACACATTTTTGAGTTAGTGTTTTTGGTTTTTTGTATATATACACAGCAGTGGAATTGCTGGGTCAAAGGGCAGTCCTATTTTTAGTTTTTTGGGAGACTTCTTTACCATTTGTACCATTGGCTGTACAAATTTACATTCCCATCAACAATATACAAGGATTCCCATTTCTTCACATTCTCACCAATGTTGTTATTTGTGTTCTTTTCGATGACAGCCATTTTGACAGGTGTGAGCTGGTATCTCATTGTGGTTTTGGTTCATTTCCCTAATGATTAGGGATGCTGAGCATCTTTTCATGTGCCTGTTGCCCTCCTGCATTTCCTGTCTCAAAATAAGTCTATTGAGTTACACTGCCTATATTTTAATCGGGTTGTGTTTTTCATATTGAGTTGTATGAGCAGTTTATTTATATTAAATATTAATCCCTCATCAGTCATAACACTTGCAAATCTTTTCTCCCATTCAATAGCTTGCCTTTTCATTTTATTGATGGTTTTATTTGCCATGCAAAAGCTCTTAAGTTTAATTATGTCTCATTGTTTATTTTGTTTTTGTTTCCTGTGCAATGGAAGATAGATCCCCAAAAATATTGCTGCAATTTATGTCAATGATTTTTCTGCCTGAGCTTCCCTCTAGGAATTTTATAGTACCTGGTCTTACATTTAGGTCTTTAGTTCATTTGATTTTATTTAGCTATATGATGTTAGAGAATGTTATAATTTCATTCTTTTAAATGTAGTTGTCCAGTTTTCCCATCACGATTTATTGAAGAGACTGTCCTATTCTCATGATATATTCTTATCTCATGATATATTCTTATCTCATGATATATTCTTATCTTATGACAAATAATCTTTGTCATAGATTAATTGACCATAAGTGTGTGGATTTATTTCTGGGATTTCTGTCCTGTTCTACCTATCAATCTATGATCTGTTTCTGTACCAGTACTATCCTGTTTTGTAATACAGTCTGAAGTCAGGGAGCATGATTCCTTCAGCTCTTTTCTTCTTTCTTGAGATTGTTTTGGCTATTCAGGGTCTTAAGTGTTTTCATACAAACTTAACTTTTTTTTCTAGTTCATGAGAAGTGTCATCGATATTTTGATAGGGATTGCATTAAATTTACTTATATTCTTTATTATTTTCTTCTATTTTCATTGGTTTTAATTTTTCTCTTATTTTTGTATTTTTTAATGTAATGGCTTAATTTACTGATTTGAGATTTTTTACTATAATTTTTGTTATAAGTGTCTCCAGGTACTACTTCAGCTTTGTCCCCAAAATTCAGTATATTGTAGTTTCATTTTATTCCATTGCAAAATATTTTATCATTCCCCACTTTGAATCACTAGTTATTTTGAATTATATTTTTTACATCTAAATATTTCAGGGTTTTCCACATTTTTTATACTATCAGTATCTATTTTGACTCCATTGTACCTGGATAAATACTTTTGTTTGATTTGTGTACTTGTTTGTTTTATGAGTCATAGTATGATCTATATTGGTGAATATTCTCTGCATATGTTAAAATAATGTTTGTTCTGTTGCTTTGGGGTCCAATGTTCTATAAATGACATTAGAAAAAAGTGTTTGATAGTCCTTTTCTTTTACATCCTCTATATCCTTAATTTTTTTCTATCTTCTTGTTATATTATTAGAAATAAATTTTATAGTCTCTAATTATGATGGTTGGTTTGTCGTCTTCTCCTTTTAGATCTGTCAGTTTCTGTTTCGTGTGTGTGTGTGTGTGTTTGCATGCTAAATCGCCTCAGTTGTGTCCAACTCTTTGTCATCCTGTGGGCTGTAGACCACCATGTTCCTCTGTTCGTGGGATTTTCCAGGCAAGAATACTGGAGTGGGTTGCCATGCCCTCCTCCAGGGGATCTTCCTGACCCTGGGATCAAACCCACAACTCATGTCTCCTGCATTAGCAGGCAGGTTCTTTACCACTAGTGCCACCTGGGAAGCTGTTCTGTTTCATATATTTTGATAATCTGCAAGTGAATATATGGTTAGGATTGTTATATCTTCTTGACGAATTGATTCCTTTATCAGCAGAAGGCACTAATTTCAGAGATTCTGGCAGAAGACATAAGACCTTGGAATCAGAGATAAAACTTTTTATTATTCACAGTACAGGAAATAGTATCAACTCTTCCTTTCCCCTAACTCTTATGAATGCAAGACAAAGTGTAAACTCAGGCAGATGCTGTACCCACAATGGGTTTGTGTTGAGTTGAGAAACCCTGACCTTGGGAAATCCCAGTCCTATAAAGAAGGCTGCTAGGAGACCTGCCCAACATTTTCCCTGGAGGACATTATCTTTATTATCCTAGACAGCAAACAAATCTGCCTTATGCCCTGGAGATGAAGGCAGACACAATTCTTAAAAGGATTATCCATAATAAATGAAATCACAAGATGTGAGGATATATTAGAGACGCATGGAAAATTGTTTTCCAACTATATCTCATCTTATGCTTGAAGATCTTTCTATATTCTGTTTTGCGTATTATATAGTCACTTGCCTTTCCTTTCAATCAGTATTTGCTTGGTGTATATTTTTCCATATTTTACTTTTAACCTATCAGTATTTTTATGTTTACGATGGGCTTTATGTGGGAGGCATTTGATCTCAATTTTTTTATCCAGACTGCCATGCTCTACCTTTTAGTTGAGGAGTTTAGGCCATATTTTAAATGTAACTGCTAAATAAATTTAAATCTACTAACTTGTTATTATTTTATATTTATACTATCTCTTCTGTTACTTTTTCCTCTATTTTGTTATTTTTCTGTGGTTTAGGATATATTCTACCTTTAAATTATATTCTCTCACTGCAAATTATATTATTCCATTTCACTTTATTTTACAACTGTATACTTTCACATCTTTCCACTTCCTTACTTCCATCCATTTTGCTATTTTTGTGCTATATTTTGCTTCTATATATGTTAAACAACCCATAATATTTTGCTACTATTTTTTAAGAGATATTTAGCTCTTTAATAAAATAAGAAAAATAACTTACACAATTTAGTTTATATGATTTCTAGGATTAATTATATAAGTTCAAATTTTCATATGTATTCTAATTTTCTTCTGCCTGACATACACGCTTTAACATTTTTTGTAGTATAGGTATGTTGGCAATGAGTTCTGTAAGCTTTTGTTTGTTTGAAAAAGTCTTTGTCTGTATGGTTACTTTTCTTCTACTTACCTTAAGCTTAATTTACTCTTGTCTTTACACACACACACACACACACACACACAGACTAAACCCAAAGCCTGTGTACAATACACTAGTGAAACACTTTTTAAACACTTCATACATAGTGTGGTAGGAGCAGTGGGAGGCATAAAATCGAAGTGTGTAGCAGCATTCTGAAATTTAAATCAGCAGCAGAGTGATCCTAGGTAATGCAATATGGCTTAAAAACCAAGCATCAGTAGTTTTAATTTCCATATAGACTCTGTTAAGAAATGCTACACCAACATTCTTTTGGTATAGAGGATGATATCATGTGGGAAAACATGGACAATGATGGCTCTGACTCAGAAATTGATTAAAAAGACAAATTCTGAATAGAAAGACATTTTAGGAGTACTTTAATGAGCATCATTTGTTAATTTATGTAGATAAAAGATAAATATGGTCAAAATTATGTTTAAATGTCTAAAAACACTCTTTTATTACATGAAGTTTAAAAGTCTAAGTGATAAGAAGTCATTGTGTCACTTGACTGGCTGAATTTTTTCTTTCTTTTATATACAGAAAATTAGATGGCAATAATAAGCAATGGTATGAGAATCACTAAAATATGATCATTGATAAATGTTTTGTTTATTTGAAATAATTTTAACAATTAGCTTTTAAACTCACTTCTATTTTTTTGTGTGAATTCTTTTTCTTCTAAACTGTTTATTGCAATTTAAAAATGTGTTAATTCCCTCATCATGTAGATATTTATTACAGTTTTTAAATATGTTGTTTAACCTATAATCATCTAGGTATTTTGCCTGTGTAACAAAACAAAATTCCTTCATTAATTCCAACAAACATTAAACAAATCAGAGATCAGCAAAACAGGAAAAAAGAAAGAAAGAGAGTAAGACAGGCTGACATTTGTTCTTTAGAGCAGATTTCATTATTTTGACATTGCTATAGAAATTATATTTATCAATTATTCAAAACATTGATATCAAGGTATAAAAATTATAAGAATAGATGATTATGGCTTTAACAGAAAAAGTAACTTCATAGATAAACTTCTGATGTAAGTATCATTGCACTGTGCTCCCAAACTGTGATAAAGACTTTCATGGTCAGGATTGAAACTTTGGACATTATTTATTTTCATTTAGCAATTTGCTCCCTCTTTACCATTTTTTTTAAAGAAAAAGATTTCTTTCTCTAACTTGTCACAGTTATTCTTTTGATTTTTTTTTATTGTCACTCTTGTCCAGAACTGTGGAGGCGGAAAGGCGGTATTGGAATGGCCTTGTCTATGGAGCCAGGATGGGGAGTTGGTTTCTAATTTCTGTAACTTACCAGCTGAGTGACCTTTGGTAATCACCTAACTTCTCTGTTCTGATTTCTTCAGGTGTAAGATAGGGATTAAGATAATCATTATATCTATAGCTAACATTTATAGAATATTTCTTATTCAAGTAATGTATTAGGAACTTTATACATACCATTCCATATAATCTTCACAAGAAACCTCTGGAGACGATATTATTATTATCTCCATTTTATACTAACAAGGCCACACTAGAGTAAAATGAAATAGCACTTACTATGGATGGAAAGTAGGCACTCAGTATGATATGATAATGATGATAATGTCGAAGATAATGACAAGTGGTAACTGTGACAACAATGACAAATGTAAAACTTCTATGTATTATCATTATGCCATAATCTTAAATAAATATGCTTTAAACTATTGGACATAGTATCACAGTTTATTTCGTAAATATTTATTGACACCCTTTTATGGCCAGACCCTGAAAAATATAAAGGTATATAGTGCTATTTTCAAGGAGTCTCTAGATTAGCAGAAAAGGGAAAATATGATCAAAAGAGGAAAATATTAAAGGAAGGAATGACGAGGAGCAAAGGAAAGAAAGAAGAAAATAGGAGAAAGTGAAGGAATGATAGAATGAGAAGAGAAAGGAAGGCAGGGTAATCTTATAGGAAATGCAGTTTGCTTTATTTGGATTGCACAATAGGAGGTATAGTCCAGTCTCTAATACATGCCATGCATCAGCGCCCAAGTGCAGAATCAGCTGCTGGGAAGACACATGTAAACACAACAGCGCATTTTTCTTCAGCATGTGTTGTGATGCACACCGCCTGTCAAACCGGAATCTGGTTTTATGCAAAGACAGCGGCCGGATCACGGTTCCTAAGTCAGTGTGCCATCCATTAAAAGAAACACTGTAGCACATGTATGTACCATTGTTATTACGAAATGATGTTAAATTATAGAATCATGTGAGGACAAGATGGGTTTCTTTTTCATTCACGCTGTGATCAGTTTTTCTTTTTTTCTTTTTTCAAGCATGCCTATCTAAGGATTATGGGAGGGTGGAGAAGGATATGGAGAGACAGACAAGTGGGAGGGGAAAGGGGCAGAAACATTATAGTAGTTTCCAGCTGCTTCAAAACTCTTGGAAAGAGGTTTGGTATAAATTATATCAAGAAGATAGGGGTGTTCAATAGCTTTAGATACATTTTTTTCTGCCCATCCAGTTAATATGTCAAAATGTTCTGCTTTGACAGAAAAGCTTTGCCGCATCACAAAGGGGCATCTTAATCCCATCACTCCCTCGTCACCCTCCAAGAAAGGAGCATTATGTAAGCATCTGATTTGCATCAGGGGGCAGCCTTGATTTCAGAGAAAGCTGTTTGCAATTCAATAAGCTTCATGCACTATGTGGCCTTTTATATGATTCCTCACAGTGTGGTTGATCATGATCTAATACTTTTTTTTCCCTTAATGTAGAACACCGAGGCAGCGCTGCAAAATCACTCTTGGTCTCTGAAAGTCAGAGGATATATGAAGGTTGAGAGAGATGAGCCTTGATATTTTTTGACCTCTGACCTGGATTAAGACAGTTTGCAAAAGGCACTAGGTTAGGTAAAGGAGAGGCTGAATTGATGGCCTAGAAATAAAGACTGGACAGTGTGAAAAGTGAGGGAGGGAGAAAAATAGAAAGATAAAAAGCGAGAGGAAGAGAGACAGAAAAAGAGACAGAGAAAAAGAGAGAAAACAAAGAAAAAATGGAAGTTGCTTGGGAGACTGGATCACAGGGTAGGAAAAACATTTGCAACCCTTGAAAAGGTCATAAGTTCATATGAAATTCATCAAATGCTCTGCTCATTTCCCTAATTCATTCCTCTTAGCTTTTTGAGTGTTCTGGTTATGCCACAGCATCTTACAAAACCTAAGGTTTTCTTTCCATTTCCCACTTTGAGTAGTTAAATAACAACCATCCTCTTTATCGTCTTTTAAATCTTAATTCTATTTTCAACAGAGCTGAGTTGTTAAACAGTTAATAATTTAGCAATATTTCCTGCTTAGCCTGAATTCCTCTTTGACAGCAAACATTTGAGATAACCTGCGTCTTAATGTGATAGACATGGCTATGGGTCACTAACTTGGACTTTCCAAATGAGATGGCCTTGGTGTTGGAAGCAATCTTAGTACACAGATATTTCTGTGAATGTGATAAAAATGAGTTGAGATATTGCTCATATTGAGAGAATATGAATATGAGAATAAAGAAGCAGAAGTAGCAAAAATAACAACTGTCAATAACAAGGACCTCAGAAACAGGGTCCATGGATTTTGTAGCAACCACCACAGAGTCTGGTACATAACATTGCACAGAAAAGATGCTCCATGTTATTGTTATTCATCCAAGACCATGAACTGATTGCCCTGGTGAAAACAAGAACAGAACACAATTTCTAATCTCAAATTGCTTCAGGTCAAGCAGAAGTGACACAGGAAATCAGTAGAAGAAACATGAGTATCTCGAACACATTATCCTCACATAACTTTTGTGTTCCTGATTTGTTCAAAATGACATGCAATATTTTGAAGATACAAAGATTATTATATGAAGTGAAGTTTCTCGACACTGACATTTTTTTTTTAATGTTTTTTTTTTCCATTTATTTTTATTAGTTGGAGGCTAATTACATCATTACAGTAGTTTTTGTCATACACTGAAATGAATTAGCCATGGATTTACATGTATTCCCCATCCCGGTCCCCCCTCCCACCTCCCTCTCCACCCGATCCCTCTGGGTCTTCCCAGTGCACCATGCCCGAGCACTTGTCTCATGCACCCAACCTGGGCTGGTGATCTGTTTCACCCTAGCTAATATACATGTTTCAATGTTGTTCTCTTGAAACATCCCACCCTCGCCTTCTCCCAGAGTCCACAAGTCTGTTCTATACATCTGAGTCTCTTTTTCTGTTTTGCATATAGGGTTATCGTTACCATCTTTCTAAATTCCATATATATGTCGACACTGACATTTTGAGCCAGATAATTTTCTCTGTGATGTAGGCTGTTCTCTTATGTATTGTGGGATGATTAGTAGCATCCTCGACCTCTTATGTGCTAAATGCCAGTAGCAGCCCACCCCCATTTGTAACAACTGAAAATATCCCCTGACATTGTCAAATGTTCCCTGGGGAGACAAAATGTCCTTAGTTGAGAAACACTGCCAGGGAGCATTCAGGTTTTTTGGAGTTTTTTTTCTTCTCAATTACTCTTTGGATTTTTTTCCATTTTATGTTGTATATGTAGTAAATGTGGCAAGTTTATGGACTTCCCCTGAAAACCATTCTGTCCTTTCTCTTGGTAATGGGTGTACACGTCCACTCCATTAAAGACTACCTATACCAGATTCCATTGCAGATTGATGTGCACTTGTGGCAAAGCTTAGTAATGAACTTACAGAAGTGGTACTTCAAAAGCACTGCGTTAAAATAAAGAGTGAATTCTTTTATATTTTTCCTTTGCATTTTACTGTGAGCTAGATCACAGAGATGATCTAGCTCCAGCAGTGCAAGAAAGGCAACATCCCGCAGGACAGGAAAACAAGAGGATGAAATAACTTGGTCAGTGACAATTTCCCTGAATTTCTTTGTGGAACAAAACAATGTCAATGCACATTAGTATTTTATACACATGCTCACACACATGTGATCAATGTGCAACATTTTGGTCAGGCAAAACATTTATGAAGAGGGAACATATAAGTAGGTGCATGTACCTATGAGAATACAGGTATAAAAAGCTATAGGACCTTAATTTAATGGTGTAATTAAGTCTGCCAATGTGACTTCTGGGCCTTAAATGACGAATAAGAGTTTGTCAGAAGGATTAATGAACCAATGAAAGACTGTTCTCTAGTTTCACAACTTGAAAGGCTCTCTCCAGAAAGAGCTAGTGGTAGCTCTACAGAAAGCAGCAATGATCAGCCACATCACTGATGGATATTCTCTTTTAGTCAGATCACTTAGCTACACTCCCACCTCACACCAAGAAGACCACCAGACTTCTGTAAGTGATGAGTGCTTTAGTACAGACAACTGACTCACCTGTACCCTGTGTGTTTTGATTAAAAGAACTCTAGGTTTGTTTTTTTTTTTTTCTTTTCTGCATATAGAGTCTGTGAAAAAATACTTGAACAGAATTTAATGGTGCTTTTAATGATTCATCTAAGTGTTCTTCCTCTGTTTTCTAATGATTACAATTATATAGCACATGGATCGCCCTCTCCTCTGAATTGAATGCTGCCTTCTCAAACTGCCAACCAGGAAACAAAGTTACATTTGATTATATACTTATGAAAAACGACATGATGATTCAAATCAGTTTTCTGAAGTTAAACTTACAGTCTCATGAAATCAATATGCATGATGTCAGCTTATTTGCATTACTTAAAAAATTAACTACCTGAAAAAGCAATTGAAACATCCTAACATTACTTTTTTTGGGGTGGGGGGGAATTTTTATTCCCTCATACGAGGAAAGGCCATATCACATTTTAAAATTTTTTATTGGAATATAGTTTATTTAAAATGTTTCATTAGTTTCAGGTGTAAGGCAAAGTGAGTCTGTTATACATATATCTGCTCTTTTTAAATTCTTTTCTCATATAGATCATTGCAGAACATTGAATAGAATTCCCTATACTATACAGTAGGTCCTTATTGGTTATCTATTTTATATATAGTAGTGATTTTATGTCAATCCCAATTGTCTGTCACAATTGTTCAGTTGCCCAGTCGTCTCCAACTTTACGACCCCATGGACTATAGCACTCTAGGTCTCTGTGTCCCTCACCATCTCCCAGAGTTTGCCCAAGTTCATGTTCATTGCATCGATGATGCCATCCAGCCATCTCATCCTCTGACGCCCTCTTCTCCTACTGCCATCAATCTTACCCAGTATCAGGGACTTTTTCAATGAGCTGGCTATTCACATGAGATGACCGAAATACTGAAGCTTCAGTTGTCACAATTACATCTCACTATAAA